CGTACCGCATTGTTTAATGGCACCCAAGTTTCCGTGGATAATTGTATTTAGTGAGTGACTCCACCCTTTCTCACCTGGTGCAGTATCCATTGTGTCTTCCTCTCTTCTCTCTTTTTGTTTTTCCTGTTTGGAGTTACCCCCTCATGGGTGGTTGGCGGGTGCTCTGGTGTGGTTTGCTCTTTCTTTCCTATCAAACACCTATCGTCCTTATCTCCTCTCCTTCTTTTTTATGTTTGTTACTCTTTTGTAACACCTTTAAATCTTCTGGCGCTCATATGACCTTATGTAGTTTCGAGCGCCGTAAAACCTACTAAAACTAAACTAAACTAGTTACCCCCTCCCCCTTCATTTGTGAGGCAGTATGGTGGAATCAGGCTATCGTCAATGTTTTGGACATGTAGGGTTATAGGTATCGTCTTAAAGCTTGTTCACTTGTCTTTATTTTGATGGAAAAATATCCATTTATCTTGAATACTGGTGGAGATATTTGCGAAAAAAGGAGCTGGAGGTCACCTGTTTTCAGAGGTAGAATTAATGAGAAAATGGCCGCCAAAAATTAGTTATTTCCTTAGCTTATGAGTCCGTGGTAACTGAAAATCTATTTTTGTGCGCATTTAATCAATGTTTTTCAGGAAAATTTCCACAGAAATGAGTTCTTTAATAAGCATGAAAGGTGTTGAGCCAAAAAACGAAATTTGATAAAATTTAATAAACCTGCGGAAAAATGCTAGTTTCTTCACTTTTATTATTTTGACGAGAGCCTGCTTCCACCACGCTGCCTCACTTGTCTTCTGGTACCCCTCGGGGCGGTGCTGCTGACTGAAGTGTCTTTAGGCCATTCCCTAAAGGGGGGGGGGGGGCATTGGGGGCATTAACATCTCGAGTTCTTATGCACTGTAGAATTGTAATTGTAAAAGAGCTGATTCATCAATGTCGTGCTCATAGTAGTGCCTGAACTGCAACAGGGAACTGCTGCTTCTCGGATAACTGCGAAAAATCTCGGAGGTCCCGTGTGCAAGTTGCGCACGTTAAGATTCCCTTGGTGGTCCAAAACCGATAAGAGTAGGCTTCGGCCACCACCCGGGCAGAATTTAAAATTTCCTACTTAATGAAAATGTTTAGTGTGTCCCGCGCGCTCATATGACCTTATGCAGTTGAGAGCGCCGTCAAAATAAAAATATAATAATAATAATAATAATAATACCACGTCATCCGACACCATATCAGGTCATATCATACCATACAATGTCCTACTAGACTATACTTTATAACCCCCTACTATGCATTATCATAGTACACGTAAAAAGGAAACAGAAAAAGGAAGAAAGAAAGAAACGCTTTTTAGTATTGCCGTGACCCTGCGAGTGTTGATGTTTGGTGACCGCTCCTAGGTCGTGGGCGGTTGGCGGGTGCTCTGGTGTGGTTTGCTCCTTCTTTCCAGTCAAACATCTATCCTTTCCTGTCAAACATCTATCGTCCTTATCTCTCCTTCTTCTTTTTAATATTTGCTACTCTCTTGTAACACCTCTAATCTTCTGGCGCTCATATGACTGTATGCAGTTGCGAGCGCCGTAAAACCTCTACCAAAACAAAGTCCTAGGTGTGTGGTATCTGGGTGTAGTCCGCGTGTGTTCTATGTCCTGTCGTCGCTACTATCTTTGTGTTTACTCATCTGGTTCTCTGGCTCTGACGACAGATAGGTACCGGTTTTGCGGATAAATCCAGAAATCTGGATAAATCGGGAAATCTGGATACATCCAGAAATCCAGATTTTGTTCTATTGTTCCTGCTATGCCCGAGGCTGTGGTGTAATTGGTCACTATTTAAGTTTAACACCACTTTTCAATGAGAAAGAATAGCCCTTTTCAACACAGATTGGGCATGCCAGAATTGAGTTGATAAGAGTGTAAAAACCTTATCAATACACCTAATCCTTGGTTGTCGGCGTTTGGCAGCAGCTCACGTACAGCATGAACGCATTCTTAAACGGCTCGAGCGGTTCACAAGAAAGCCAAAATAACAAATTTGCCCCC